CCCGCCTGGCCACTACGCACCATCTTTCCAGCCCCCACCAAACCTCCCCGGCAGCATTAACTTCAACGCGCCCGTCATTCGTCTCGGCGGCGCCAACGGACCACCCCCCGGCCCCGGCGCCTCGTCGCTCCCGGCGCGACCCAACATCCCGTCTGGTCCAAGCGGCTACAACAACGGCATGCCCACGGGCCCTGGTGGTGGTGGACGGCGAGGCGGCGAGCCGGATACACCTCTCTCGGCACACAGTCACAGCGGAAGCGGCACACCGTTACGACCCGATTTTCGCCAAGATCGCTTTGGCGGCGGCGGCGGCGGCGACCGATTTGAACGAGGCGACCGTGGAGACCGGGGAGACCGATTCGACCGGTATGGTGGGGACCGCAACGACCGATATGGCGGCGACCGAGACCGCGACAACAGAGGCGACCGCGACAACAGAGGCGAGCGCGGTGACCGCGGCGAGCGCGGCGATCGCGACCGCAATGGCGGCCTCGAGCAAGCGCGTGCGGCGATCCGCGATACGATGCATTCACAGGCACCACCTACAAACGACGAGAAGCTACGGACCATCTTTGTACACAAGGTGCCCGCGGCTGGTGTGGGCGGCGAGGCAGGTCTGCAGCAGCTGCTGGGCCTTGCAGGTCGGCTACGGCGGTTTGACGCAGGCACATCGCATCTGGCGGACAGCAAGGACTCGCTGTTTGCGTTTGCCCAGTACGAAGACGCCAATGCGCTGGCATCAGCGCTTGCTCTCTTGAAGGACGTGTATGTGCCAGTGGCCAGGCAAGTGAACAAAGAGCAGGATGGCAACGAAAACAAAGACGAGGAGACAAAGGACGGCGGCGATCAGAAGAAGGAGGACGATAAGGGCCACAAGGACGAGACAGACGATACAGAAGAGAAGGAGGAGAAGAACGAAGACGACGACAGCGCCGAGGACACAGACGACCCATTCAAGGGCATCAAAAAGGTGCGGCTACAAGTCGCCGTCGACCCAGTCAGCCTCAAATACATCGAGTCGTTCCAGGAGAAGCAGAGCGACGAGGCCAAGGCCGAGGCGAAATCGAAACAGGACGCACTGCGGCCCGCGTTCGAAAAGGCAGTGCACAGCCTCTTCTTCCCGCCCAAGATCGACCCAGCCACTGCTGCCGCTGCCGCCACCGCTGGCGGTGCCAACGGCAACGGCGATGTCATGATGACAGACATCAACGGCATCCCGCTGCTGACCGGTAGCAGCCTAGATGGCCTCGAGGCCCTCAACATCCCGCTCGGCGCGGCTGCCGCTGCCGCCGCTGCCGCTGCGGACGCCACGCAAGAAGACGAACTGGCAGACGTGCCTGCCGAGATGCGCGAGATGGTGGCGGCCGAAATCGCGTCGTTCCGCGAGCAAAGCACGAGGCGCGACCTGGAGCGGCTCAAGCGGGAGCAGGAGATGGAGGAGCTGGAGCGGCGGCGGAACGGCGAGGACGCGGCCGTCCCGTCGCGACAAGGTCGGCTGGAGTCCCCGGGTCCGACGAACAGCGTGCCACTGGGTCCCCGCAGTGGTGGCGGCGGCGGCGGCGGCAGCGGTGTCCATCCGTCTCGTGCAGGGTTCGTCAACGGCGGCCGTGAGAATGGGGACGACCGTCGCGACCGACGGGACCGTCGCGATCGCGATCGTGACTCCGACCACGACACCGAGGCCAGCGACGACGAGCTCTACCGCCGCGAGCAGCGCAAGATCCAGGCCGAGGACGAGCGGCTGTACAGCGAGGCCGAGCGCAAGTGGGCCACGCGCGAACGGCAGCGGGCAGCCGCGCTCGAGCGCGAGCGCGAGCGCGAGCGCGCCGAAAAGGACAACGAGGCGCGGTTCCGCGCGGACGCCCTGGCGCGCGACGCCGCGTGGGACGACGAGCGCGAGGCCAGCCGCAAGACGGCGCTCTACTACCGCGACCACGCGGCGTGGCTGCGCAAGCGGGCCAACGACCGGGCCACCGAGGAGGCGCGCGACGCGGCGGACCGGCGGGCCGAGCAGGACGATGCACGCAAGCAGGCGGCGGCGATGGAGGCGGTGCGCTCGCAGGCGGACTCGTTCCTCGACGGCATGGGCATCCAAGGGGAAGGCCAAGGTGAAGGTGCAGACGCAGCGAAGCACGAGGCACAGGCGGCCACGGAGCAGCAAAAGGTCACCATTTCGTTTGGCGCGGCCGCCCAGCGCAACCAGGCGCAGCGCGGCGCCGGCACGCGGCGCACGGTGGCAGAGGTCGAGGGCCTGCTGGACGACGGCGAGCACGAAGGCGCCACCAAGCGGCAGCTCGTGCCCATCAAGTTCGAGCCCATGGCGGCGTCGGCGCGCATGTCGGACGAGGAGATCAACGAGGCCGTGCGGCAGCTCGTGCAGGAGATCCCGACCACGCAGGACGGCCTGTGGGCGTGGCCGGTCGAGTGGGCGTGCATGGACGACGCCGTGGTGCGCGACAAGCTGCGGCCGTTTGTCGAGAAGAAGGTCGTCGAGTACCTGGGCGTGCAGGAGCAGTTTTTGGTGGAGGTCGTCGAAGAGCACCTGCGCAAGCACGGCACGCCGCAGGCGCTGGTGGAAGAGCTGCAGGAGGCGCTGGACGAGGCGGCCGAGGACCTGGTCAAGAAGCTGTGGCGGATGGTCATTTTCTTCACAGAAAGCGAGAAGAGGGGATTGCCGGCGTGAGGTGTTGGTGGTTGCCGTGTTTTACTGGCAGGGGCCTATGGAGTCTACAGTGTGCATTCGGCGCTGCGTTGCCGTGTATCATAATAATTTGACATTTGGACTTGGGTCCGATGTACGACATATGGACAACTGGTTTCATGGAAGCGTTTGTGTCGTAATGGTGATGTGAGTGTCGTTGGCATTGGGCCGGCACAGAAGGTTGTAATTAGTGTGTTTAGTAAACTTTTGTTGGGGTTACTCCACTGTAAGCGGCCACTATGCGCCAAGCTGCCGGGAGACTACCCACAGTTATTCACACCACCGAACACTGAGATGCGGAGAAGCGATCCCGGCCAACCGAGGCTCCAGGTTGATGCAGCCCATTCATTGATAGCTTACTTGTGTTCTTTTTTTGTCTCTCGTCACATTCAAAGCATTCCATTTCCTTTCGTTTTAGACAATTACATCTTCTCTACTTTGCCAGCTCACTTGATCCCCTGTGCAGCCAATCCACAATGGCCGCAGACTCGTTCGTCTCCCAGCCGCCGACCGTCCCCGATGTGCTCGTCACCTTCCCGGCCCAGCATGTCATGCTCGTGACCATCAACCGCCCCCGCCAGCTTAACTCGCTGCCGTCGACCCACCATGCGCCGCTCGACCGCCTCTTTACGTGGTTCGACAACGAGCCCGCCCTCCGCTGTGCCGTCGTCACGGGCGCCGGCCGGGCCTTTTGCGCGGGTGCCGACCTCAAGGAGTGGAATGCCCGCCACGACGCGGCCCACCAGCCGGGTGCCGCCCCGCAGGCCCGGACGGCGCGCTGGACACCCGCCGGGTTCGGCGGCCTGAGCAACCGCACGGGCAAGAAGCCCGTCGTGGCGGCCGTCAACGGCCTCTGCCTGGGCGGCGGCATGGAGATGGCCGTCAACTGCGACATGGTGGTGGCGGCACAGTCGGCGCAGTTTGGCCTGCCCGAGGTGCGGCGCGGCGTGGTGGCGATTGCGGGCGCGCTGCCGCGCATTGTGCGGACGCTGGGCCGGCAGCGGTCGGCGGAGATGGCGCTGACGGGGCGCCACTACAGCGCGCAGGACATGGCGCGGTGGGGCATTGTGAACACGGTGGTGGCGGATGACCGCGTGGTGGCCGAGGCGGTGGCGATGGCGTCGCTGGTGGCGGCCAACTCGCCGGACGCGGTGGTCGTGTCGCGGGAGGGCATGCGGCTGGGCTGGGAGGGCATTGCGCCGGAGCTGGCGACGGACCTGCTCGAGCGGGGCATGTACGGCATCATGGACGGCGCCGACAACATGAAGGAGGGCGTGCTCAGCTTTGTCGAGAAGCGGCCGGCTGTGTGGAAGGGAAGCAAGCTGTAGGCGTGTGGTTGTGTGGTGGCATAGGGAGCTCCACGGGGGACATAAAACAAAAAGGATGGACTGCAGACTGTCAATGTTTTGGCATTCGAGGCTAGCTTGTCTGTAAATATTTTGTGCCGTATGCTCTCTAGTTCAAAACACAGCCGAGATGGTCGTCAGAACGTGGACATTACATCACGCCTTCTGCATGGCCTTGCGAGCATGCAGCGGGTCGAGATTCGAGATACACCCCAAGCGGCGACATGTCTCCCTGCGACAGGATGGTCAAATAGTGCTGCCCTTTTTATAGCCTTTCTACACTACCCGTCGAAGCTGATTCTGTTCCTGTGGCCTATTTGGTTATTATTATGTTGTGTGCTCGAGTGAGTATCTGGAATGGGACGAGCGTGGCACCACCACCGTGGATGCAGCAGGAAATGCCGTGTCCAAGAGCAAGCGCAAAAAACTGGTCAAAGACTGGGAAAAGCAAAAGACGGTACATGAAGAATGGCTGGCGATGCAACAGGTGCATTAGGTGTAAGGTAATATTGTTTCTGGGTTTTTACTGTCAAGAGCGAATAATACCCACAAGCTATGGCTACTTAGTTTATTGTGCAGAACATGGAGATGTATGGGGTAATACATCCGGGGTTAGCGCATACCTCAGCCAAGCAAACCCTCCACACGTTTCCGGGGTATCCCCACATCCCGAAATGTTTACGTTCGACTTTCATGCTAATTTCTTCGCCATCTTACCGTGTTTGTCCATCATCGACAGGTACATATGTCAGTACCCTGGCCACGCGGACCTAGTCACGATGTTCGACAAGCGAAGTGTGTGTGGATTCACTGACGGGTTTCATTCAATAGTATTATTAAAAGAATGTATTGCTTGCCAGATACAGCTCACGTTGTTCTCGGAGTCATGACATGGTCAACCTTCCGGTATCCGCCTCATCCTGTTTGTCGCGCACTGTCGCTCGCTTCTCCTCTCACTCGCCCACTTCGCGGTCGCCCTTCCAGTGGACAAACATGCGCATAATGGCCCAGTCCCAGGTCGCGAGGCGGATTCGCTTTCCGTAAAAGAAGAAGAGCAAGCTAAACAAAAAGACGCCACCGGAAATGGCAGCCATTTCGCCAAAAGCGGCGACGTAGCCCGAGTGGGAGATCCAGTCGTTGGTGTAGAAGCTGAGCAGGAAGCCAAAGAGGGCTTGGGGCCGCGTTAGTCTTTGCTGCTGTAACGGGAGTGGGGTGCAGACACTCACACTTGAAGGTGTACTGGGTCATGGTGACCTCGCCGGCAACGGGGCGGTAGCAGTCAATCATGTACACAATGGAAATGTTGCCGGCCTGGACAATGGTGAAGTTGACTTGACGTGTTAGTAAGTTTGCGTATAATTAGAATATATATTATCCAAAGACTTGGAGGGCCACCTACTCAAAGCAATGCCCATGACGGGACACATCCAGTGCAGCTGGTTGCCGATGCCGACGCCGTACAGGATCAGCGCCAGGGGCCCCGTGACCAGGCTGATGAGCATGGCCGGCAGCCGCATCTCGGGCTCGCGGATGCCGCCGTTGCGGCGTGTAAAGTAGTCGGCGACAAAGTCGGACAGGGCCCCGCCGAAAAAGACGGCCACCACGGAGCCAATGACGCCGGCCAGGTAGCTCAGGCCGACCTGCCACGTGGAGAAGTGGTAAAACTGCGAAAAGGCGACAGACACGTTGCTGGACATGGCGACGAGAAACCCGATGCTGACGGCCATGACGAGGGACGCCCACAGCGCCGAGGGCAGGATGATGAGCACAATGGGCCGCAGCGACAGCGTCCAGAGCGCCTCCGAGGTGTAGGACGTGGGGCGGCTGCGGACGATCTCGGCAAGGGACGGCCGCTGGCCGGCGACGCGCTGCGTGTTGGCCGTCGCCGCAAGGCCCTGCTCGATGCCGGCCATGTCCTCCTTGGTTTCCGTGGTCTCGACAACGGCAGCGTCCTCTTTGGTGGCCGTGGCAGGACGACCGGGCTGGTCCGGCCCGCCGTGCCGCGGAAAGGTTGTCTCGGGGAGCGTGAAAAACATGAGGACGGCCGTCGCGGCCACCAGGGCGCACGACAGCCAGTACACGTTCTGCCACCGCAGCGTCGTCGCCGTGATGGCGCCCGCCAGCACCGAGCCCACGCCCGTGCCGGCCGACAGCGTGCACGTGTAGATGACCATCATCGTGCCGCGCTCGTGCACGAAAAACAGGTCCGAGATGGTCAGCGGGCCCAGCACCTCACCGGCGCCGGCGGCACACCCCAGCAGCGCGGTGGCCGCCAGCATGCTCGAGTAGCTCGTGGCGCTGGCGGCCCAGGCGGTGGTACCGATGAAGAGGAGGTAGGAGCCAATGTACACGGGGCGGCGGCCAAACTTGATCATCAGCGGGACCCAGACCAGGTTGCTCATGCCCATCATGAGGGCGCAGACGGTAATAAAGTAGGCCGCCTTGGCAATGGCGGCCAGAAAGGTCGGGCCGGGCGGGCCGAAGAAGCTGATGGTGATGTTGGTCAGGACCGCCGACGGGCCGGCCGCGCTGAACGTCGACAAGAAGATGGCCCAGGCCGAGAGGCCGGCGACGTAGTTCTTGTACCAGCGGGGCCAGTTGAGCGGGTCGCGAGGGTCGTCGGACGGCGTCGGGATCAGCAGCACCTCGTTGGTGTGCTCGTGCCGCAGCCGCAGCGTGCCCAGCTTGTGCTTGTGGGCGTGTCTGTCATCGTGTGAGGCCATTGTTGGGTGTGCGACGGACAATATTTGATTCTTTGGTGCGTCTGGTTCGTGATGTGTCGCGTTATGTCTGATAGCCAGACCGCTGGGCGGTTATATAGTTGGCCAGGAAATTAAATTTTTATATGAGCAGACTAAATATTGTATATTGTATATTGCCGGCCCAGCACCACTTTCGAAGCAAGAATAACCAGGCATGTGCTTAACAGGCTGTCTGCGGAGTGATCTGTCTCCTCTGCATGTTTTCCTCTTTGACGGCGTATTGCTTCCCCATCTCCACTTCCCCGTCATTCTTTGTCTGGATCCCTAGCCACAACTCGCTTGTTGGTATGCCCGTTCCATCATGTGAACGCTGTTCTCGATCTCTGGGGAACCCGATGTTGAGTTCCCGACTGCTCCATGAGAGAGGCCAGGGATGATCGCGGCTTCGCCTCCACTTGCCGATCCTGGTGATCCCCTGCATTTTATGGCTTCGACGGTTAGACCGAAAACGCTAACCAGGACTGCAGCTACCTTCAGAGGCGGCAATATGGCGCCGTACGTCAACAGCTATGCAACATCAGATACAGTTGTGGCTTGCGTATGTCTAGATCGCATCAAACCACCCATCAAACCACCCAGTATACATCGTACGGTGAAAACGAAACAAACCAAAGCGTAACTAAATCCTACTAATTTGAGTCCAACTGCAGGTGATAGGATAGGTATCCTTCACGGTCTTGACCCCAACCTCGATAGTTTTCGCATTCAGAGAAGCCAACGTGCTTATATATGCGATGCAAACGCTGTAGCACAAAAAACCCATCCTGTATATGATAATCTACGTAGTTTTTGTTCATACTTTTACTGTCTTACATATGTTTGCGAAGGCCAATCTTGAAGGGCGAAGAGCCCGGCAACAGCTGTAGGTGAAGCATTCTATTTTCCTATATCTTCCAATTCGTTTAGCCCGAAACAATCGTCAACCCCCGGCAAATCAAGGCCAATATTCAGGGGCTGAGCAGCGTGTGCGCGAGTGGAAAGTCTATCGGAGATCGAGCGCTTAACCATAAGGACTGTTTTATTGTCGCAGTCAAGCGGTAGGGGCCCTCATTCCTAAAATAGAAAAAAATAAAACTTAAAAGGGCCGTCCTGCAGGCTGAGTAGGGGAATCAGGAGCAGGGAGGAACAGGGAAAGAAAGCAAACAAAAAAAAAAAAACCTTCCGTAGGCCAGCGCTTAAAATCGCCTTGCACTGACGGAGACATACAAAACAACAAATAGAACTCTTTTCAGAACGAGCCTGGGCGGCTAGCTCAGCACTTGCCCTCGAAGACATTCCGTCACACTTGGCCGTGTTCATACATCGCGGAAAGTAGGCATAGTGCGTTCATGTGATGTTGCATCTGCATCAGCTTTTTGTCTCCTGGCGTAAACGCCGGCCTGCTGGCATGGCCCATCTTGGCCTCTGTTTCGGCCGACAAAGCCACGCCCACCGAAAGACCCAGGTCTGACTCGGGCCGTGTCGTATGTTTCGAATATTGATCCCCAAGAAAATTTGATTTGCTATCCAGCTCTGAACTGTGAAGCTCGACGACTGACATGATTTTCATCTGCTTCATGATGGAAGACACGTACAGAAAGCCGCCTCGGTCAACGAATATTTAGTCATGTGTTCTCCCCAGAACGAAGCCGAAGCACTTCTTGATTTTTCCAATCCCAACTGTACAAGTATTCTTAAAACACATTGTGGCGTTATACTTTATTTGTTTGCCTTCTCAGTTTTCTTGACAACAAACTCATTTACACAACTTCTTGACCAAAATGCCCGCCTACTATGGTCATACTGCGGATACCGAAATCGACTCGGCGAAAAGACACATCGATACACTCGAGCACAGCTTGAGCAACTCCATTCGCCGGTACAATGAGGCTGTCGATTATGCCAAGAACTGCGAGCATAATGGGCGGTCCAGGAACACAGGTGAGCCCCCATGCGCTTGCGAACTACTTCAGGAGCTGTCAGTTCTAATGAGGAAAGTCTCGAAAGCGTGGAAGCAGGTGAGAAAATGGGAGGAAGATGTGGCCGAGAGGAGATTCCGCATCGATAATGCGCGACACCATCTTGACGAACTCCGCGAAAGGAGATACCACGAAGAAGCTATCATCGAGGCCAGTCACGACCGGCTCCCAACCGAGATCAACCAGGCCATCGCTCGCGAAATCTATTTCAGTGGAAGGACCCGCCGCTACAATTAGGGCTTGCATTAGCGCCTACCATTTCTAGGGACTAGGCCTGGCCAGGCCAGCAAGGGAAGGGAGAATGTTGGAATGTTGCTCTTCAGAGCCGGCGAGGGGTAGAAGTGTAAATCAGGGATATTTGGGATTTTGAACATGTACTTTGGGATATCTTGTTTACAGAGTCAATCAGAAACTAGAATAGCTACAATATTTGTAACAGGAATGGTAGTATTGGACTTTACGTGCGTATCTTTTATTTCAAGCCCATACAAAGAGTTTTTGCATCGGCGCATTAAACATCTGAGCAGACTGTCCAGTCGTAAGCACATACAGACAAAAAAAGATGTTTCCCACCGCCTTGTTGCACGAGTAGAGCGTCCAAGTTTGGCGAATGTCGGCTCGAAAATTCATGTTTCAGGCTCTTTCCAGATGAACATCATACACAATCCAACTCCCATGAGTCACATCACGTGCCGTTATCAACCCCCCACCACCGGCGCTATTTTAGAGGGGCAGTCCATATCTCTACGTCTCGGCTACTCTTAATTTTTCTTCTCCATCTTTCCACTCCGCAGGTCAAATACTCACCGGTTCACATTGACACCGCACCCGCGACAATGGCTGACGATCTTGCCAATTCTGCGGCGAAACTACAATTAGATGAAGAGACCGGGGAGTATGTATCGAAGAACGAGCTGAAGAAGCGGACGCAAAAGAGAGCTAAAAAGCTAGCTTCCGAGGCTCGTGCCAAAGCAACGCAAGCAGCCAAGGCAGCCGACACCTCTGCTGCAAGTGGAACAGCAACTGTTCCACTGGCAAAGACAGCTGTAGCAGAACCGGCAATTGATCCCGAGTCAATCTTTAAACAGGGCTTCCTTTCGGAAGTGTACGGCATCCGTCCAAGCAAAGATGTCCTCACACGTTTCCCACCTGAGCCCAATGGCTACCTACACATTGGCCATGCAAAGGCCATTGCCGTTAACTTTGGATTTGCGAAATACCACAATGGAAAGACGGTATGTTCTTTCCCAGTCAACTTGTCTCTCGACTGCTCGTGCTGATAAACAGATTCTGCGCTTCGACGACACCAACCCAGATGCCGAGGAGGAAGCATATTTCACCGCCATTCGAGAAAACATCCGCTGGCTAGGTATGGCTGTTTCTGGTGTTCACGTTCTTACGACCTTGAGACGAAGTCCAAAACACTTACACAGGAATAAGGCTTCAAACCGCACGCAATTACATACTCGAGTGATAATTTTGACAGGCTCTATGACCTAGCCGAGAAGCTCATCGGCCTCGGACGGGCCTACGTCTGCCACTGTAGCAAAGAAGAAACGCAGAAGCAGCGCGGTGGTAAAGACGGCAAAGAAGGGCCCCGCTACCGCTGTTCTCATGCCGACCAAGACGCAGCCACGAACCTGGCAAAGTTCCGGGACATGCGCAACGGAAAATACGAACCAAAAGAGGCGTTCTTGCGCATGAAGCAAGACATCACGAACAATAACCCGCAGATGTGGGATCTTGCGGCATACCGCATCCCGCAAGACAAGACACCACATTTTCGCACAGGCGATAAATGGAAGATCTATCCAACGTACGACTTTGCCCACTGTCTCTGTGACAGCTTCGAGGGCATTACCCACAGCCTGTGCACGACCGAATTCATCCTGTCGCGCGAGAGCTACGAGTGGCTGAACCACACGCTGGGCGTGTACGAGCCCATGCAGCGCGAATACGGCCGGCTCAACATTACGCATACGGTCATGAGCAAACGCAAGCTGAAAACACTTGTCGAGTCAGGTCATGTCCGCGGCTGGGACGACCCGCGCCTGTTTACCATCAACGCCCTGCGCCGTCGCGGCATCCCTCCCGGAGCGATCCTGGCGTTCATCAACGAGCTGGGCGTCACCACGGCCAAGACGACCATCCAGGCATCCCGGTTTGAGCAGGCGGTGCGCGGGTATCTGGAGACCAGCGCGCCGCGTTTGATGTTGGTGCTCGAGCCGTTGCGTGTCGTCCTCGACGACCTCGGCGACTTGGAAGGGCAGGCACTCGACGTGCCGTTTTCGCCCAAAGACCCGTCCATGGGCAGCCGCACGCTGCACCTCACGTCCACCGTATACATTGACCGCGCCGACTTCCGCGAAGCGGACAGCCCCGGGTATTTCCGTCTCGCGCCCGGCAAGACGGTCGGCCTGTTGCAGGTGCCGTACCCCATCCAGGCCACGAGCTTTACCAAAGACAGCCGCGGCAACGTCACCGAAGTGCACGCCGTTCTTGTGCGCGACAGCGCAAAGCGCACCAAGACGTACATACAGTGGGTACCGGACGGCGAAGGCGCCAAGACGGTGGAGGTGCGCGTGCATGGCCCTCTGTTCACAGCAGAGAACCCGGGCAGCGGATCGGTCGACTTCCTGCAGGAGATCAACCCCAACAGCGAGGCCATCTACGCCGAAGCGCGGGTGGAGGCGGCGGGACTGGAGGAAGTGCGGAGGCGGGCATTGACGCCGCCGGCAACGACGACCACGGGCGGTGGCCGTGACGAAGAACCGCTGCTCGGACCCGAGTGTGTGCGGTTCCAAGGCATGCGTGTTGCCTACTTTGTGAGTGTGCCCCCCTCCCCTGTATACGCTACATGTTGTTTCTGTGACTAACCTGCCAGGCCATGGACTCGGACAGTACTGACGACCGGGTTGTTCTCAACCGCATCGTGTCACTCAAGGAAGATTCTGCAAAATAAGCGACAGTGGAGTGGCGGACTTTATCAGCGAATTAGTTACTTGATAGTCGTGCAGCGAGATGGATGAAGCGAATGGGCCATTTCGATATCTTAATACTCACGTTGATTTTAAGGCGGCCTATAATTTTAAACCCGTGCTTGAACGTCCTGGCAGTCCAGACCCTAGCAAAGAACAGACAAAACACCGTTGAACGATGTGTCGGTGAATCGGACATGCGTGATTTCTGCCGAGAACATTAATGCGGTTTGTTATATAGCGCATTTCTCCCTTCTATTCCTACGGTCGTTCTATTTGGCTGCCTCTATTCTGTACAACGTATATTGGCCTATATTGACCTATATCAGACATATAACAGATTACTATCGGCCACAGAGGGGGACTTGGGAACATACGAGCGGAACTGGCTCAAAATGGAACCCTTGTCCCCTTGTCGATAGCATCAATGCAGCCTGTTGTTGAGCACGTTTTAATTGCAGATTCATTGCAACCCGACACCACCACTGCGCTTCTCCCGCTCCTCTGTCTTGGTTTGCCTGCAGCTGCAGCTATGCCGTGATAACAGCCAAGCCGCCAGCAGATGAGGGGAAAGAGGAGGCTGGGACTGTAGATGGCGACATTCGTTTACTTTATGGGTCGTGATCGAGCTCTCACATTTATGACTTGCACCGCTCACGAGAAATTAGACCTGAACGTAACCTGTTTTTTTTTCACTTTTTTTTTAAAAAAAACATTTCACTTTCATACACCGAAGCCATTTCCAGTACAGGCCATTTCCCTCGATGATGCACATTGCAATCGGCACCGCTCTGATCCTTCTCTTCGCGGAGAGGATCGCTGCAGTGGCTCTTGGGCCACGCGCCGCCGCGACGACGTCCTTTCCAGGACCTTGGATCACCGTCGACGCCGCCGGCCATGTCGCGACCGTGACGCCCTCGCTGAGCGGCCCGTCCACCGTCTCACCGCCGCCCAGCGTGCTCACGCAGCCGACGCCGTTCGTCCTGTCCCTCAACGGCCACGCCACTACGACGACGGCGGCGCCGCCGGTCGCCAGCGCCACGGGACCAGGCACCGCGGGCGCCTTTATGGCCTGCCACGTCGGCGAGAGCCTGGTGGCCGACGCCCACGCGCCCTTTTGCCAGCCGCGCGCCGGCAGCCAGATCGCCACCAACCACACCTACTACGTCGTTTGGGACCCATCCGGGTTCGCGGCCAACCAGACGGTCGAGGTGCAGAGCGCGTACGCCAGCGTCGACACCAACGCGCGCGGCGAGGGCTTCTCGTCGGCGCCGCTGGCGGCCACCAGCGGATTCTACGCCTGGACGGTGCCGAGCGCACTGGTCACCCTGTACGGCGGCGCGGCGGGCCACGTCAACGTGACGCTCGCGCTGGCCTACAACAGCTCGACGTCCAACAGCCTCCTCCGCCTCGCCGGGCCCAGCGTCTTGGTGACAAACCATGTTGTGCTCCCGCACCAGCACCGGCACCACGTGGGCACCGTCGCCATTGCCGTGCCCGTGATCATTGGTGCCGCCGTCTTGGCCCTGCTGGGCTTCTGCGTGTGGTCGTACCGGCACCACGGCCACCTTCCGTGCATCGGCGGCTTTGTGTCACGGCGCACATCGTCCTTTTCGGCCAAGGGCTACGGCGCGCGGCAGAGCTACGGACAGCGGACGGGCGCCGCTGGCCATTTTGGGCCGCCGCAGGGGCCATACGGTCCCGGTCTGCAGGGTCCAGTGCATGTGCCGCCACCGCTGCCGGACAGCAACTATGGTGCTGGGCCGATCCACGCGACGCCCACGGGGAGGAGCAATGTGTTCCGGGACGAACTGAAGCGGCAGGAGGATGTGCGGTTCTGATAGTTCTGGATTGCCGTTTTGATTTCATTTTGTGTGCTATCTTCCTTCTAGGCTTCACAACTGTTGCTTGTATTCTTGTCTCTCTTTATGCTTTTCTGGCGTGCTTTAATGAGATTTCCGAACATTGTTGCATATAGTTACCAATTCGTGTGTCCACCATCGTTAACTCCTTAAAAAGAAATCGGCCCTCTAACTTGACTGACAATATATCGCCGTCACAACAAAGATAAGACGAGATCGATCCAGGAAAGTATTGAACCTGAAATGTCTTGGTTCGTAGCCAAGCACGTTGCTATTTTGCCACTGGACCCGTCTGTGGAATGGTCTCAGTTGTTGGCTGTAAGACCAGCGGGCTGGAAAAGGAGGTTTGTGTGCCGCCCAAAGGCCGGGCATAATCACCACAATGGCAGCGCCAATGGCACATAACAATATGTGTGCCCTCCAAGAGGGACGACAACGGCCACGGCATGTTCGCATATCAGAACGAGTAAACACGGATTAAATTTATTCAAATATACATCAGGCCACTATACCACCCGGAAACCCTCACTGGGAATTTCCTTCTAGGGACGTGCACCTGTGCCGTCTCTGCTCCAACCTGCTTAGTCGATGTGCCATCGTGTGCTCCCCTGTACCCGCAGTGCTTCCAGCACCGGCACAGAGCCCTCATCTGGGAATATCTCACAAGAAGAGTTACAATTGAGTGCGTCTCAAGAAGTCGCAACTAAATAAAACTTACCAAGCCGGTGTCTATGCATTCTTGGACAACAACTGCCATGGTCCGCTCCACGAAGATTTGGACCTCACGTCTTGGAAGTAGGATGCGACAAAGGCATCGGCCTTCATGGACCCATTTTGAAGCCTCCAAAATAATCATAGCTCGTCATCCAGAGCACAAAAAAGAGTATTTGATTTGTGCATTGAATCGAATTTGCCCCTAGCCGTCAAGCCGCAAGATTTCAAATAAAGTACAAAATAGTACAGAAATACAAAACAACAAGGCCTTGCCTGACCTTCTTTTCTCACGTTCGCTTGTCTTCCTACAAGCATTATCTAGCCACATTTTACAGCACAACGACAGTCCAAGACTCTGGCGCCGTGAACGCCAGTTCACCACGCCGGCGCATGCTTTCTGGATCGACCAGCAGCTGGAAGCCAACAAATCCCGCGCCGAGACCAAATACACGAATGATCATGTAAACATTCTCGAGCGCATGATGGCCGTCTAGACCATCAGGAGAACAGTTTTGCATCTGTGGGGAAGAAGGTTAGCTTCGTTTTCTTCGCCGTCTGACTCGGCAACGGAACTCACTCGCGTGTATTGATGGTTGCTCATATAGAACGGCGTGGCAACGGCGGCGTTGACGGTTGTCTTGACCTCGATGAAGTATCGTGGTCGGGCAGACGCCCATACCTCGTGCGCGAGGTAGCCCTTGTCCATGAGTAAGGCGGTGAGAGTGCCATCGACATCCTCGTAGGTGATGTCGGCTGTTTCTTGACCAACCCAGTTTTGAATGTCCGCGTACAACGGATGGCTGCGGGCGTAGCCCCGGATGGTGCTCTGCCAGTTTTGCAAAGAGAATCCTGGCAAGACACCGTCCCCCATATGAGACAAAAGCGCGTAGACCTAATTTGGTGAGATAAAAGAGAGAAAAAGATTAGCTGCCTGGTCCTGGTCCTCCCGTGACACACATGCACCTTGTACTCACAAATAACTCGCCAGCGGCGCCAATTTGTTTGTATTTCTCGTCCAGGGAGGCATGCTGGAGCCATCGGTTGCCGCGTTGCGCGCCCGTGCTTTGTATGGTGGACATGGAGACATTGCCACGCGACGGAATGCTTGCCTGTGTCGCCGCTTGCACGACAAGGTCGAGGAGCACAGAGTAGCTGTTGTCAGGAGCCTGTGACACGGGTGACGCCGAATCTGTCGAGACATGGGTGCGAGCGAAAAGTGATGAAAGGTACAGCTCTCCATCATCCGTGACTGTCGTTGATATCGTCACTATCGACGCTGTCGTGGCCGTCGTGGGTGATGCAAAAGTAATTGAGTCGGGTGTCATCCCGCTGCCGTGAGCCTCTGCTTGTCCGCTAAAGGTAAAGGGCGTGTTCGATCTCGAGGAGATTATCTCCTCCTCGTTACTATGAAACGTCGCCACGCGCTGCTGCGGAACAGACGCAAGCGAAATCGATCGAGTTGTCACAGCCACCTCATCCACTTGCAGTGGTCTCCCCGGCTCCTCGACAGATGATCTCCCCGGCGCCTCGATGGATGATCTCCCCGGCTCCTCGACAGATGATCTCGCCGGCGCCTCGACAGATGATCTCCCCGGCGCCTCGATGGATGATCTCCCCGGCGCCTCGATGGATGATCTCCCCGGCGCCTCGATGGATGATCTCCCCGGCGCCTCGATGGATGTTTGCGGGGCAACAACTTCCTCATCCTCATCGTCGTCTTCTCCCTCAGGGACAGAGGCTAGCTTGATACCATGGTGATCTAGGATCACATTCATGGCAACACATTTTGCGCACAAAACTGCCTGGGCGGCAAAGATCATGTCTGAGCCGATCGTGGTCATTGGATTGGCCATCATCCATAGGCAAATGCTTTTTGGCAACGTTGCATTGAAACATAGCTCCTGCGTGGTCTCGTCTCGTGGCACATAGAACTTGACTGACGTGTCATCGTCTTGGATGTGGAATGTTGCGGCGGCTCGTTCGACCTTCAGGACTTTTCCATCTTGGTCCAGGTGTAGCTCAGACGTGATGCGGTCTGTTTCGATTGTCTCGGCGTGTCGAAGGAGCGTATAGAATGACTTTTCTCGGCTACCGTATACCCGGGGACTGTTGTATGCCACGGCCAGACTTTAAAATAGGGCAATCGTTAGTAGTTGTTCCTTTTTTCGTACTTATCGATAGACACGGTAAAATAGGGGAATATACCTAAGGAGAGCGCGAGCCTTTCGGCGGATATCGCGATCTCTACACGAAATAGGCCGTTTATCATCTCCTACAACGCAGGAGTTCTCCCTAACCATTTTCGACAGGTACTTGTGCCCAAGTCCCACCCACGCGATGAACGGTTGCAAGGAGCGGACCTCGCCCATGTCAAAATCAAACAACTTGACTTGTCCGGCAAACTCGTCTGCGAGTGACTGGCGATTCACAAGAAAGAAGCTGTCGGTTCCTTGACAAAGCTGCACAGTACCGCCAGGGAGGCGGACGGGAAACACTTGCTTTTCAAATACATTGGTCGCGACCATTTCTCTTGCATCTGCGTCCTGAACTAACAAGGAGTTGAATGCATGGATGGTCTGCTTTGTGTCTTCGACAGACAGAAGGGGCCCCGTTAGCTTGTCATAGACCATCTTGACCGTCATTGTCCGCATGCCGAGACAATCCATAAAGAAACTCTTCAAGTCTGGGTAAATGACGCTGAGAGTGACCTTGCCGCGGATCTTCGTGGCGCTTGTCCATAAACACTGGTTGGGTGTGTACCAGCCGCCGTCGTCGGGATCGTCTTCGCTGGAGACGTAAATCAGCCCCCACCTTTTGAATTCGTCTTTGAGCTCACTGTTTTTATCATGGTGTTTGGTCCTTGTCAGAATTGCGTATCAAAGGTTTCTACATTCCACTTTGCCATCACCGCGTCTGCACGTACCTCAGCTCGTCTTCATCGAGACTCTCCAGACATTCGGAAAGACGAGTGTACAGTTCCTTAGCCTTGTAAAGGTCATGTATGTCATTGTCATGCATATAGACAATCTCGGACTGCAAGTCACGCCAGTATGCGTCCCGGATTTGCAGTGTTGTGGAGAAGAAATTCTGCAGATTGGAGCGCTCTTGTACGAACAGGTCCGGGAAGCTACTTTGACAGCGTCTGGCGATAGAACCCTTGTTGATCATGTCGACCGGTGACTCCCAGACGCAATCTTCAGGACAGGACCATGTTGCACATGCAGAATCCGTGTGGCCGGTGAAGATTAACTCGTCCGAATTGAAAGCGAGCCTGAAATCACGATTCCATATTAGTGGATCAGTTTATGAGCAATCGTTCTATCTTTGCTTTCCCGATGTGGATGCATCTTTGCGCCAAAAAAAAAAGGCACTTACCTGATCTGTTCGATTAGTCCATCTTCTGGACTGGCAGCTTGCACCTCGGCCTGGATACGAACGTAAAGCTCGTATATACGCCTAGGATTGACAATGTCCTCCGCAAAAGTATGCTTCTTTATGTATCTCAGGATATCAAGCAGAAACGATAGTGTTGTGCAGTGGTAACCGAGTCCAAAAGCTTTGCCCAGTGCCGCCCAACTGGAGAGAAACACCTCGTCGTCGGTAATCTCACTCTCTAGCTGCAACCACGGAAAGAACTCGTCGACCAGGAACCGTTCGGACAGCTTTTTGAGACTCCCGAGTGGAAAGTAGGTCGAACCGAGGCGGACCTTCTTTCCTTCCTGGCAGAGGACCTCGAGATTGGCGATCTCCCCGGTGATGAGCTTTTTGTCCGAGGATGGCAATACGACGCCTCCCCACGTTCTCTGCAAAAAGCCGAGAAACTTTTCGGGTCGGTGTTCGGCAATATAGTTGCCAATGGGAGACAGAGCCTTCCCATCCGTATGGATCAGGCGTAGGTCTCGACGCACTCCGTGGAATATGTGGAGCCAGTCTTTGAAAGTCGGACTTGTCGGTGTCGGAAGGCTTAGTACATCCTTGAAGTACACGTCGGCCATGACGAAAAGGGGCTCGAATCCCGGTGCATCGTTGTCGGACGAAAGCAAAATCTCCACTCCGTAAGGTGTGCCATCTGCAATGTACATATCGACATCGGTGTTGCACGATTTTTTGAGGTGTCCCTTACGCGGACCAATGGACAGCCTGTTGTAGTCGTAGGGACTGCTCACCAGATGGTGTGTTAGATAAAGAAAGTGGGTGTGCTGGACGAGGTCTGTCCACTGGATACTGCTGGTGCCGAGGTTTTGGTGTTCCTTGAAAATTGCCTCGCGGACAGTCTTGACCGGCGCAGCACGGGCTCCCAGTTTGTTAAAGAGGCGCTCCCTTGAAACGTTGGCAAAGGCAGTGGCATCCACCACGGCCAGGTTCACTCGCGGGGGAATGACCAAGCTGGTGCCCTCGGGTTGTGGACAGTACACAGGCCCGGGGCTGGCCGACACCCAGCTCCCGTCCCGCAGAGGGAATAGCTGCAGTTGCTGCACGGCCTCACGGACTTCTTCTGATTCTGAGTCGGATAACGCGTACAGGAGGTCCGCCACGCGCATGTGCCAGTCCTCGTCGTCGGTCGATTTCATCACCGAAGCGTCTGAAGCCAAGTCATGCTCCACGCGCTCGACCCACTCCCAGTTTGACACTGTAGTAAGACCGTAATCTTCCAGCAGGATTAGGTCCTTGTGCTGGTATTCTTGCGACAATAACGGCATGGTGCAATGTCGGGGACGAGGGGCGCTCCGTCGCTATCGAGCATACTGGGTAAGAGACGGCGCGAGTCACCAATTGACAGCAGAGGCTGGGAGGCGTCCTGGGACTGCAGGATGGCCATTCGTCCCAAGCGGCTACGGATGTCTTGGATGACACTTTTCCAAAATCCGTCCCAGGGATAGTCGCTATCACGCGGAAGGTATCGCATCCACTGATACCGAAGTGTGGCGTGGGTAGAGAACTGGCTAACTGCCATGATGAAAGCTTCTGCGATGCCGCGAGCAAGGCCATGGTTCCTGTCCGATGTGACAACGATGTCTTCTCGGTTGGCCTGTGTGACGAAATCGGCGTGGATCAGGAACTGTTTGTCGGGGTAGTAAATCGCCGTCAGTAAGTGTATTGTACCTATGGACCCTTTTGGGGGGGAAAGTGAGAGACTGAACTTACCTTGAAACCCATTATCTTGACGGGCAAGAACGCAAAAATGTACTCGTTTTGTAGGACCGGCTCGGAGTGTGTATCAATAGGAAAGCCAAGAACCACCACACCGTCTGTGGTAGTTTGTGCCTCGCTATCCAAGTCCTTGCGGTTTTCATTCGGGGCGAGATCCCTGACAATGTGTTTAATCATAACATAGCTCTTAACAACGTCGGTGACTTGCTCCGTGTTCTGGTTGTCGAACGTTGTCACGGATTTCTTCACAGTGGTTTGGTGCCGCAAACGATCAATGGAAAAGGTGGTGGTGGACTGCAGATTCTCCTCAGAGTCGTAAAAGGAGACTTTGATTTCCTGGAGCTTCTTCATAAACAGCAGAATGGAGTCGTGGATGTTGTAAAACTGTTCGTGGATGATCTCCTGTCTCCTAACAGCGTCACCAAGCTGCCCATCGCTTCGTAGTGTCAACGTGATGTGGCTGAGCTGGGCATCGAGCGTCTCGTTATAGTCAGTCCAGATCGGTGTCATCATGCCCAGCCCCGAGTCTCCCTTGGGGTATTTGAAACGAAACGAGTAGTCACCCGACTGGATGTGCACCTCTTCCGCGGCCATGAAAACCGACTTAAAGCCAATGCCTTTTTCCCCGGTGTAGCCCACATCACCAGCCAACTGGTTTTTTGTCTTCTTCTTGGAGCTCTGGCCGACGCTGCAGATGGCCGAGACATTCTCTTCTGTAAAGCCGTTCTCGTTACACGAAGCCACGATCCGGTCCGGGTAAATGTGAAAGGCCACGCTCGGTGGGCCGCGGTCGCTGTCGTAGTGGTTGTCGTCGTAGTTCTGTAGCAACTCAAAGACAAACTTTGCGCTGCTCGAATAGAGATTCTGGGCGAGTCTGCCATTGTGTCAGTCAATGCACTGTCCTGATCTGACCCATACTCTGATGTTATGTACATACGTTTTAACGGACGTGGCAGCTTGGTGCTTCAAATTGCTCACGGCGTCCAAGATGATGTTGCACGATTTTTCGGACAGTGAATGTTGCATCTCTGCAAGTACTTCGTCCGGGATGTATCCGTTCTTCTTCCCCATCTCCAGCACGATCTGTTTGGCCACATCACGACCCGTCATGGTGGCCATTTTTGTCATGGGCGACTTGGAAAGTGAATTCTAGAAACATAAAAGTAAAATGTGTAGTGTTGGGAATTGGCTGCTTTCTGAGTGTTCACGTCATATAACTGATATAACTGTGAGATTGTTAGAACTGAAGACTCATGTAGCGATATTCTTTGAGAGAAATGCTAGACAAATATGAAGGTCTGATGAAAAGGGATAAAAAAAACCCATAAAAAAAGAGGATAACGACTTTACGATATTAGAAAGCGAATATTTGTGATACATGCACGACGTACCCACGCAATCCAATCTTCAACACAACAAAATAATGGGAGCCTTAAGGCGTCTTGAACGAGCGAGAGTAGTATTTCTACTCCGCTGCACACTTTTTCTTTCGACGGCTGGAATAAAAGGTGGTGTTCCTTTCAGGGGTAATCACGATGCAGGATTTCGGTATTGCCGCCTAGCGACTGTCCTGTTGGTGTTTGGAATTTGGTGTGTGTGGGTGGGGTCACGTCCACGGTCGGCCAAGACACGGCCTCTGGGGCTATGTTTTGTTTCGAATGCCTGCGCAATATCGGGATGGATGCTGTCACATTTCAATAGATCAAAAGGTAAACGACATATTTCCCAGTCTTGGGGCTGTCGCTCTATTGACCTTGAACTGAAGAAGGGACAATCACAATGCCAATGTGCAATGTTAATAGTCGAAGATTGCTACGTTTCGCACCTTCAGCCTGGTAACTGGCTACGTATAAATACACGGAGTGCTCCTAGGACTGCTTTTACTTGCCATGGGGAAATACACATGGGGAAATACAATCGACAGCTGTCTGGTCACTTACGTTGGGGGTGGCTTTTCAAAGCAACAGTCGCCCAAGTCCGTATTACCGCTCGGCCGTACGGACGTCAGAGTTGATATTATCAGCTGCCCCTGCATTGCCGTCGTTTAAAAACAAAACCCCGCCTGCCATCCCAAAATTGCGATGTGACACTGATTTTCAGCTCCTGGGATCCAATCAACAAGCGCACTCTTTTCTGCGGAGAAATACAGGGCTCTTTTCCGTGCGGTCTGTGATGGTCAGCGTTGATCCTGGATCAAAGCTCTTCGGGACCACCCGCTAGGTTAGCTTCCCTGAATCCCAGTTGTAAATCAAGCCTTGCAAAACGCCACCATGCTTTCTTCAGTGTCGGATAGAGCACGGAGTAAGGCGGAGAAGAAGTCAGACAGATACGACGTACTGCTTTTGGAAAGCCTTTACAGGGCAGAATGTAGGAGTATTTTACATGTCGCTAATTTTTTTTCTCCTTTCAAAGGTGACCACACGTTGGGTAGTATTAGAAAAAAAAAAAAAAAAAATTCTAAAAAAAAATTCTAATCAGGACACATTCTGCGCCGTAGCTACACACTTCTTTTCTGCGCGCGCAAGGTTTCTCGTTTGCAAACGGAGGGCGGCTCCGTAATTACACGTATAAGTATTGACAAGAAAGAATCGTATACAACATTGCCACCTTACAAAGACATTACTTGTTAGGACCTGTTTACGGCTTATTCCTCTAAAGAGCCTTTCTTCATTTTAGGTCCCTGGTTACTACGAATGTAGACAAGGTCACTTTAAATCTGTATGGCTCTATCTGTGCACGCTGTGCAAGCCTGTGCTTGGCCGTCAAAAACGGTCATGATTTGTAGGGAATGGGATGAGGCTTTCGGGTGGTTCAGCACACAGACTACCGACCAACACAACATTTATTGAAGGCACCCTGTATCGCCGTTGTCGCCTACTACATCTAGTATACATACACAAAGTTGGGGTTCTCTCTGTCGGTCAAGTCGCCAATGGCCGTCTCGTTAAGTCCAGGAACGGTGGAGGCGCCCTCATTGCCATTCTCAGCAGCGGTCTGGAGCGCCGCCCGCTGGCGCTGCTTGCGCTTGTTCTCGTAGATGAAGGAGTAGCGAAAGACAAAGAAGAGGAGGAGCTCGATGATGTTGGTCACCAGCAGGGAGCCAATGCCGAGGGCGTACTTGGGCGCCTGGTCGGCCTTGTAGAAGAAGGGGCTCGAAATGGAGCCGATGCAGGAACCGAGCCAGATGATGCCGGAGACAATCATCTTCTTGGACTGGCCGCCCGTGTTGCTGGTGACGAGGGAGAGACAGATGACAAAGGAGGCCTGGTACGAGCCGGTGAGGTAGCTGGTGTTGTGTTGTTAGCGTCAGGTCGTCACATACTGGGTACAGGGGACGAGTGGCATACAAGCAGATGAGACGGCCCACATAGGCGTCGTCCGGGGCGAGCAGAAAGCCCAGGGCGCCGGCGATGGTGGGCAGCATAAAGACGGCACAGACGAGCGTGCGGCTGTTGGGCGGCATGTAGTGGTTGGCCAGGGCCCCCAGCAGGATCCAGACGACGACGGTAACGCCCTGCGGGATGCCCAGCAGGGCCGTGTGCAGCGTGTCGAAGCCGAGGCCCTGGATGACGAGCGTCGAGAAGTTGGAGATGCCGCCGTTGGGCACGGCCGAGACGAAGCCCAGCAGGAAAAACAGCCACGTCTTGTAGTCCAGCAGGGCCTCGCGGATGTGGCGCCAGTTGACCCGCGTCTGCTCAAAGGTCGACTGGTTCCGGCGCATGCGGGCAATCAGCAGCAGCGACTCGTCGTGCGAGAAGCCGCGGAACTGCCCCGGGGCGTTGGGCAGCAGGACGAACAGGGCCAGGCCCCAGGCGGCGCAGAGGGCGCCGACAATCAGAAACTCGTAGCGCCACGACGCCAGGTGGCCCCGGATCTGGCCGATGCCGTAGCCCAGGATGCCGCCGCCGGCGACGCCCAGGCCGTTCCACAGGTACCAGGCCGAGATGCGCCAGGGCTGCTCGTCCTTGGTATAGAACATGGACGTGAAGAGCATAAAGGCCGGGTCGGCAATGGCCTCAAAGGCGCCCGAGATGACGCGCAGGACGGCCAGCGAGGCAAAGCTGTTCACGGCGGCCTGGACCATCAGAAAGACGCCCCACAGAAAGATGTTGAGGGCCAGGTAGTAGGCGGGCGGCGACCGCTGCAGCAGCAGGTTCGAGGGGATGGACCAGACGAGCCAGCCAAAGTAGAAGACGCTGGACAGCCACGAGTACTCGTCGCCGACCAGATGCAGGTCCGTCTTGATGCCGAAGATGGCGGCATACGACAGCGTGGTCTTGTCGACGTAGTAGAAGAAGTAGCACACGCCCAGGATCCAGAGCACGCGGCGGTCGAGCTTGCGCACGAGCTTCTTCTCGTCGGCCGGGTCGATGGCGGCATCATTGGGGTAGCGGGCCAGAGCCTCTTGGTACAAGGCGTTGTCCCGCCGGTCGTTGACGCCGGCACGGCCACCGATAGCCGTGAGAGAGGTGTCGCGGTCCTTGGCCTCGATGTCCGGCTTGAGGCCGTCGTCTTCGACATGGTCGGGCAGCACAGCCATGTCCTTGTCTTCATTCATGGCGAGTGCGGTGTGCGGTATGTGGAGAGAGTATAAGGAAGTTGGTGAAGGGGACAACCTGAAGGAAAGAAACACGGGAGAGAGATACGACAGGAATGAAAAGGGAATGGGGAATACTGAGACGCCCAGCGTGGATATGGTGCAGTGAAAGACGGTGATCTTATGATGGTGAGGATGTACGTCCATTTATGTGCGACCCTCGTCACTGGTCTGCGCTGAGCATCAAGGTCAAGGTCTCCCCGGGGATTGCATGGTACTGCACCGTCGCTCGACTTTGACAGAATGCCAATGGAGGCAACGGAGAAATGAGATCGAATCCCCAGATTTCCAGTACCCCTCCCGCTATCTCCAGGTTTGTTCTTGGTCGTCTGGATGGTAAGTGTGGGGATCGAGATCCGGGGTGAACGTGAACGAAGGAAGACGAGGAGGAAGAAGGACAGAGATAGTCTAGGGTCTCGAGAGCAAAAAATGATGGCGTTGTCAGATTGGCCTAGTGAAGTTGAGGCTAACAGAAGACGTGCAACGGGCACGCAAGTTGACAAAGATAATGCCGTAATGCCGAAAGGTGTAGTTCGATTGGTCGGCGTAAAATGTGGAGAACAACGCCTCTTGGCCTTGGAATATCATCCCAGACGATGCCGGCTTTGGCACGCATGTACTGTCCGAATCGCCGGTCCACGATTTATGATTGGTTGAGAGGTGCATCAATGGAGACAAGGAATGTACCGTGAGTCCAGGAATATACCGTGAGTCCAGGAATATACCGTGAGTGAGGGTCCAGTGTCAATTACCGGGTGGGGACAAAGAGTACGGAGAACGAGCTGGAGAGTGGTCAATGGACGGAATATGGGAGACATAACAGAACATGCCACGAGGAGACCAATCGAGACGCGCTTCGGACGGGAATAGAACGAGCTGCCGGAGTCGGAGGGTTGCGTTTATTTACCTCTTTGTGTGATCTCTTAAATAGAGACCCCCAGGCTCGTGGACACCTCACCAAGGTGATCGTTATGACTATCCTCACATTTCTATCTCTAGTCCGTACGTCACATACAATCCACTCTCACACACAATGGCAGAGCAGACCAATGGCCACACCAACGGCATCCGCCCACCCATTGACGACGTCCGCATCGAGGCAGTGGAAACGTTTGGTGAGTACGATTCGTCTTTGTAATGTTAGTTGTCACTCACTGACAACTAGACCTCCGCTTCCCGACCTCGCTGGACGCCTCCGGCTCCGACGCCATGAACCCCGCGGGCGACTACAGCGCGGCCCATGTGCAGCTCAAGACCAACCACCCCGGTCTGGTCGGGCACGGCATTGCCTTCACCATAGGCCGCGGCAACGATCTGGTCACGGCGGCCGCCGGGATGGTCGGCGAGCGGCTGGTCGGCAAGACGCTGGGTGCGCTCACGGCCGATATGGGCAAGACGTGGCGGTACCTGGTGGCAGACTCGCAGCTGCGTTGGGTCGGCCCCGAAAAGGGCGTTATCCACCTGGGCACGAGCAGCTGCGTGAATGCGCTGTGGGACTTGTGGGGGCGGTACCTGGGCAAGCCGGTGTGGCAGGTGGTCTGCGACATGTCGCCGGCGGAGTTTGTGCGGTGCATCGACTTCCGCTACATCGAGGACGCCCTCACGCCGGCGGAGGCGGAGGCCCTGCTGGTGGCGCAGGCGCCGACTAAGGCCGCACGCGTGGCCGACGCCAAGGCCAACCGCGCCGTGCCCGCGTACAGCACGCAGGCCGGCTGGCTGGGCTTCTCGGACGACCGCATGCGGCAGCGGCTGCGCGACAGCCTGGCGGCCGGCATCGACAAGTTCAAGCTCAAGGTGGGCGGCAACGCGGCGGACGACCTGCGGCGACTGCGGATCGCACGCGAGGTCATTGGCCCCGACCGCATGCTCATGGTCGACGCGAACCAGGTCTGGAGCGTGCCCGAGGCCATTGCCGCGGTGGCGCAGTTTGCGCCCTTCCGGCCGGCGTTTGTCGAGGAGCCGACCAGCCCCGACGACGTGCTCGGCCACGCCGCCATCCGCGCGGCCCTCAAGCCGCACGGCATCGGCGTCGCCACGGGCGAGCACGGCATGAACCGCGTGCTCTTCAAGCAGCTGCTGCAGGCCGGGGCCATTGACTACTGCCAGGTCGACGCGTGCCGCCTCGGCGGCGTCAACGAGGTGCTGGCCGTGCTGCTCCTGGCGAAGAAGTTTGGCGTCCCCGTCGTCCCCCACAGCGGCGGCATCGGCCTCACCGAGTACACGCAGCACCTGGCGCTGCTCAACTACGTCGCTGTCGCCGGCGAGAAGAGCCTGCTGGAGCACATCAATTCGTTTGCGCACGTGCTGCGGCACCCCGTGCAGCTGGACAACGGCTACTTTGTGACGCCTTGGGAGCCCGGCTACAGCGTCGAGTACACGCCCGAGGCCACTGCGGCGTACCAGTACCCGGCGGGCACCTTTTGGAACAGCAAAGAGGGGCTTGCTATCCGGAATGGCCCCAAGCGGTAGCTACATGTGGCGATGCGTGGTATATAGAGTAGTGAGTAGCGTGCGTTTGGGTATATGTGAGACCAAAGATTTCTTTTTCCTTTCTTTTTTTTCGTAGCCTGCATAAGTGCCGTCTACATTGTACGTTTGCATATCCCATGAATTGTTTCACGCCGACGGAAAGAGGCTCTGAAACAAGGCGTCGTCGTTGAGCCAGTCGTCAAACAGCGTCGCCTGGTCTGCCGTCCAGGCGCTGTCACCCCCATTCCACATCCACGGATTCAAAGGGTCTCCCGGCTGCACTGAAAAACCGGAAGCATCAAGGCCGCCCATATCCCAGTGGCCGGTAGGCCATAAGGTGTCGCTGTTGCCTTCCAGTGGAACAAGAGTCTGCTGCAGAAGTGGGTCAATATGTCCCCAGCCAGTATAGTCCAGGCTCTGCTCCAGCTGGACCATGCTGTTGCTGTGCGGCGGAGAAATTGCGTCCATCATAGCCGTCGCCTCGGTCGGTGTCGGGTCAATGCCTGCCGTCGCCTCTGCCGTCGCCTCCATCGCGTGCACAGCCACCGTGGCTCGTTTGCTGTCCGTCGCCGTCTTCGACTTGGTGGCCTCCATCTTCCTCTTCTGAGCATCGTGGCCACGGCGGGTCCTAGCTTGTTCTCGTGCTCGTACGCGTGTTCTTGCTCGTGTCCGACCGGCCGTGGCTGCCAACTGGAAGAAATCGTGGTAAAACTGGGCGTGCCAGTAGGTCTGGCCGAGCTGTCTGAGAGCGGACATGCAGGTGGCGAACCCGCGTGCGGCGTCTTGTGTAGTGACTCTACGGTTGTCGTTGTCAACCTCGCCATCATCATCGCCGATCGTAGGTTCGCGCATCAGCAGAAACTGGACAATGAGAGGTGGCATAACGGTCGTGACGCTGCTATTGTCAGTATGGAACGCGTATTTGCTTATCAGGGTAGAGCGTACACTTGAGTAGGACAATACTTGACCAACGACCGCTGCATGAGCCCATCCAGCAACTGCGTTGAGTCGTGGGCCAGAGCCTGCATCTCGGCCGACGGGACGCGTGGACCAGCCAGCGGGTCGCGGTCCATGCTGCGCGCGCTGCCGTTGTTGGTGCCGGTCTGTAGTATTGTGGTCAAGACGACGCTGTGCGTTGGATCAGGATGCTATTCTATAGGAGGAACACGTCGAGATGAAACATACTTGTGGATTAGATGAAGGAGTGTCTGGTAGAGAAACGAGATGCTGCCAGTCGGTGGCGTGTCTTGTTCGTTATCATTGTTTTGGTACTTTCTAGCCACGGCGGCCGTATTTCTTCTCGACGGTGGACTGAGGTTGGCCGCCCAGCTAGCCAGCGTCGCCCGGCATACAGCGACTTCATGAGCAAGACGATCTGGCGACGAAGACGCCGCCTCCTCGTCAACAGTTGTCAGCAACAGGACGCCTTCAACGCACTGGCACAGCTTCAGAAAATCCGCAAAGACTGCCTTGATCGCGCGGTCCTCGTCCGTGTCCTCGTCTTCGGCCAGATCAGCCGCGGTCGGCAACGGAACATTGCAGTCCCGGCTGTTGATGTGCATCGGCCGGCGTGTGCCCAGGGAAATGAGCCGGTCGCGCACAAGACACGCCCACCAGATGCGCTTCCACAGCCGCGCGTCCTGGGCGGATGGCCCCTCGGCCGTGGCCGCCGCCGCCGCTCGGTGCAGACCCGCGCCCTGAGCCAGCCCAATGGCCTGGTGCGCCCACAGCCACGTGTGCCGCTGGTCGGCCATGGAGGCATAGTCGTGGCTCAGGAGCAGCAAGGACTGGATGGTGACAATGTCGTCCGGCTCCCAGCCAAACTGGTGGAGGTGTTTGGCGCGGGCGGCCAACGCACGGCGCGCCTCGTGGCGGGACGCGAAGCCCATGGCCGTGAGGCGGTCCTGCGCGACAAACGCGCTGGCCGTAAACACAATCGACTGCAACAACAACAAGCTCGGTCCGGTCTCCCGACCATTGGCACTGCCCTGCACCCCGTCGTCACGGGCCGTCTGCCGGTACAGTGCCAGGAATGTCGGCCGGTCGACCACGGGGAAGAACGGATGGAACACGCGAAAGTAAGTTGCCACACAGTCGTCGAGTGCGTCACGCGGCGGCAGGTGGAACGCCCCCTTGGCACGCAAATACTGCTCGTCTTCGGTGCGCGACTGCGCATCGTGTGCAGCCGACTCGGCCGACTGGTTGTACGGAGCGATTGGGAGTACGAGCCGGCGGTCGCTGTTGGTGCTGTCAACGTTGCTGTTTCTGCCACCAGACATGGTCTTCCGTGCAGTCTGTGACGTCGATGGTGTCCCCGGCGACGCCCTCCCGACGAGAGCAAGTCGGCTGAAGAATGAGAAGTGCGGAATCTGGTGCCGCATGGCATGTTCGGAAAAGGCTACGCGAGCAGCCGGTGTGAGGACGGACGCCGACGCAGATACAGAAGCAGTCCGTGTCTGTGTTTGAGTCGGCGACTGTGCCTGTCGTATCATCGTGCTTCTTCCGATTGCGTTGCCGGCTTGGTGCATACGCACTGGATGCACAGGAGGACTTCGTTCGGTCACACCCGCTTCCGCTTCCACTTCCGCCTCCGTCTCCCCCTCCACCTCTGCCAGCCGTACGGCCAGTTTGCTCTGCCGTTTCTTACGTGGTTGCAGCAAACACTCAAACCCACCCTCGCGGCAGTGCCGGCAGGGCAGGCCGGCCGTCAATGCATCACACCGTGTCTTACGTGCACGGCACGTCGTGCACGCTTTGGTTGTTCGTCGAGGTCGAATGGGTGTGTCCATGTCCTTGAAGAGAAAAGGCATTATAGAAAAAATTAAAAGTTGAAGAGGAAAATAATAGCGTCGGTTAACATTTGTTCGCTCTAGCAGAACACAACAACGCTATCCTGGCATTAGCTTTGCGGGGTCAATAGGATCTAATAAGGGCAAACAAGGGGATTTCATTCTTGGGGTAGAGATGTGTCTCTCATCTCTCGTATCTATTCGCCAAGTCCACATATGTGCGACTAGTATTATATGTGCCTTTATCCGACAGTCATCGTGCCAGTAACGTTTTGAATAAATAAAAAGTACAACAAGGAAATTTCAGACAAGCCTCTGTTTGAAGGATGACGGTCTATGTGGGTTGTGTAAGAACGTGACAAAAGGAAGTGCAAATGTACAAAACGAATGAAAGAAGTATATGTACAGGTCGAGCAAAACGCTCAACATGCAATATTTATACAGACAATCCTCTTTTGGAAGATAATCCTGCGTCAGCAGACATTACCCTTCACCTCTAGTTGATGCTCAGCATCGAAGAAGTCCCGACGGACGTGCTGTTCGACCAGATGTACGACTGGCTGCTTGTGGTGATGGTCGAGAAACCGCTGCTGTATGACGTCGCGCTGCTGTATGATGTCGTGGCGCCCGTCGACAGCGGAACAGACACACTGGAACTGACTCTGGAACTGGTGCTGGCGCTGGCGCTGGAGCTGGGGAGGACCGCCGCAACACACAACACCTCGCCGGGCTGCAAGTTTGTGCAGTCCTTGTTGATGCCCGCGGTGGGGTTGAGTGCCTGCAGTTCCGCAAACGTCAAGCCGTACTTGGTGTAGATGACGTAGCACGAATCGCCGCCCGCGACGGTATAGTACTTGGCGCAGGCCACGGGCGTCGGGGAGGCGGACACCGAGGCGGCCGACGAGGAGGTCGGTGTCGAGGCCGACGTGGCGGACGACGACACGGAGGCGGTCGTGTTACCCGCCGACACGCACAGCACCTGGCCCACATTAAGGTTTGTGCAGTCCTTGTTGATGCCCGCGGTGGGGTTGAGTGCCTGCAGTTCCGCAAACGTCAAGCCGTACTTGGTGTCGATCTTGTAGCACGAGTCGCCGCCCGCGACGGTATAGTACTTGGCGCAGGCGACGGGCGTCGGGGAGGCGGACGCCGAGGCGGCCGACGAGGAGGTCGGTGCCGTGGACGAGGTGGCGGACGACGACGCGGAGGTGGTCGTGTTGCCCGTCGACACGCACAGCACCTGGCCCACATTGAGGTTCGTGCAGTCGGCGTTGATCGCATTGGGGTTCCACGCCAGCAGCTGGTCAAACGAGATGCCGAACAGCGTGTCGATCTTGTAGCACGTGTCCTGCGGCACCACGGTATAGTAGCGCGTGCACTGCTCGGGCAGGCAGATGGCCTGGCCGGCCGTCAAGTCGCAGAAGCGATTGAGTGCCGGGTTGAGCGCCAGGATCTGGCCGACCGTGGTGTTGTGTGCGGCGGCGATGTCGTAGCAGTCGTCGGTCGGCTGGACGGTGTAGGGGTTGCTGCAGGGCGTCGGCGACGGCGTCGAGCTCGGGGACGACGTGGACGACACAGACGATGTCGCCGGCACAGACGACGACAACGACGATGACGACGACGGGGACGGGGTGGGCACACCCGCCAAGACCTCCTTGACCAGGTCGGCATACGACTCGGTGGACGTCGCGGACGCATTCGTGTTGGTGTACGACAGGTACTCGTCCCACAGCATGACACCGCCAAACGACGGGCTCGTGCCGTACGTGTTCAGGATGGACCGCAGGGTGGCCTCGTCGAGGTAGCCCGACGCGCCCTGGTCCGCTGGCAGGCCAATGTACAGCTGGGCGTGCGCGCTCCGCGTGCCCGGCAAGAAGTCCACCCACTCGTCAAAGTTGAAGGCGCTCGTCGTGCCGTCGCACTCGGGGTTGTTGTAGAACTGCACCCAGATGAGGTCAAACTGCGCCTCGGCAATCATGTGCTTCATGGGCAGCGAGGCGTCGGACACAATGGGGCACTGCGGCGCGCCCGTGACGAGGTACGGCGCGTCCGCGGCCCAGTACCCCCGCAGCTGGTCGATCAGCGCAATCCACGGCGCCTCCGACGGGAAGATGGCCTCAATGTCAAAGTCAAAGCCGTCCACGGCATTGTGCACCGTCGCGCCGAGGTCAAACGGCCGCGGCCCGCCAAACGTCGCATTGTACGGGCCAAAGGCGCCCCACAAGAAGTCGGCAAAGTACCGCCCGTTGGCCTCCGTCGTGACGTTGTAGTTGGCCAGGACGGTATCGAACACGCCGCCAATGGACAGCAGCACCTTGGTGCCCAGCGCCTGGCACACGGGGATGCCCTCCTGGATGTCCGTGCAGCCCTTGATGAGGTTGGACGCCTCGCCGTCGACCTCGTACATGGTGCCCGGGCAGTGCGCCGCGAACTCCATGCCTGGGTAGTTGGTGGCCCCGTCGTTCTCGGGCGACTCGTTGATAAAGGACAGCGTCACGTAGTCCAACGCGTCCTCCTGGCAGACTTGCGCGAGCGTCCGGTCGCCGCTCTGGCCCCAGTAGACGTTGAGCTTGCCGGCCGCGAGGGCGGGCACGGCCAGGGCGGCCAGCGTGGCCAGGGACAGGGCCCGTCGAGGCATGTGAGGCATGGTGGCGGCGAGGCGAGGCGAGGTGAGGCGATATGGAAGCCGTTGGCGATAACTACTCTACGAAACGAAACATGATATTCAAAACACGGGACAAACATTTATATCTACAGAGTGCCATCCCAACTACTGTCAAATACGGCGAACACGAGTGTCAACGAGGACGTCCCGCGGACTGGCTGAGCCACGCTCTGCTCATAATTGGTAATTAAAAGATGCAAACCGGGGACCGCATCTAGGGACGGGATGAATTTAAGTTCCGTTGTGATTTCCGGGTAAGCTCGTGCGCACGTGTGCCTAACGAGGACCAAAAGCGGCAAGGTTCCCGTGCGTTCCTGCATATTCCTGCACGATCCTGGCTGATCTTGACCGAGCGGCACGTTGCATCCAAAAGAACAGATTGTCGAGAACCCGACAGTCGTGGACCCCGAAAACATGCAAGAAATGAAGCCTTGTGAATTTGCAGCAGAGACGATGCTATGTACGAAGTACTCACCGTGTTGTTTTCTCCCAGTACATACAGAAGTAGAGAAAGTGAAAATGCCATGTCGCGTCCAAATATGTGCGGCGTGGGCGCATACGAGCATAAGGAAACAAATTAAACTCAAATCAGAGATCCTCTTTGAATCCTTTGCAATGTTACAGAGTCCAGATCGTCGTTAAAAAAGTGGCTCCTTCTTTTTTGGGCAGTGATCGATCAAAACTTCAACCCTATTACCCACGTGCCTCTTCCTCTCCCTCCGAGTTGCCAACTCTCTTTGCGCGCTGACAGCGAAAGCAGGGCTGCAATGTCCCTCAGTGAGACTCCGGAATTGCTCTGCATCTGATATTCTACGAAGACTGTGTCCGTACTTCGTATGAAGCGTATTGTCGACTTTTCCGAGGCCCTGTGCTCGGGTTAGTGGCAGCCGGGACTCGGGCTATTCTAAGGGCTTTTTTACGGGCAGTGGTGGCGCCGTTGGGCGCTAAACCTCTCCGGTCAGCGCCTCTTAATGGTAGCCATGTCCACTGCATTGATTTTCGGCGGTTCCGCCGACGACCCGCGAGACGGCAGAGACACGTAAAAGGAGAAGCTTTCACCGCCTAACCTGTAAGTGCCTCATATGTCGTATTGCTGCGGTGTAAAATAGGAGGACGCCCCGCTAAACAACCCAAACAGGCAAGAGCTGGGGGTGTCCTGTCGTGCAACCGCCGCCAAATGCTCGCGCAAACTGGGGACGGCGCCCCCACCCCTCACTTTTCGAAATGCGGGCAAACATCGTCACCATAAGAAACAAGGAACCGACGACGGCAACATCCGTGTTTCGTACTCTCACATTCACACTCGTTTTGTGTCCCAACAGGTTGACGTTGTTGGTCTTTCTTCTTAAGACCGTCTTGCTCCTGATTTTCTCACACCAGAGGGCATCTCTTGATCCGCACTGTAGCATTGCTCCCCCGACAGCTCCGCCAGCTTCAGCGTTCAGCGTTCACATCCGTCCTTCTTCCTTCTCACAGCCACACACGTCGCAATGCCCGACGAAATCCTCAACGACATTTCGCACCGGCGGTACAGTCCGCTGACCGGCGAGTGGCTCCTGGTGTCGCCGCACCGGACCAAGCGGCCATGGCAGTAAGCTCCTTCTTCGTCCCCGCGTCGAAAGTATATGGAATGGCCGGACTGGACAATACTGACGACCGTATTAGGGGTCAGCAGGAGGCCCCCTCCAAGAACACGCTGCCCGAGTACGATCCCCAGTGCTACCTCTGCCCGGGCAACAAGCGCGCCCAGGGCGACGTCAACCCGGTCTACGACAACACCTTTGTCTTTGTCAACGACTACAGCGCCGTCAAAGAGACCCAGGCCGCGTACGCCCCGGCCGCAGAGACGGGCAAGGACGGTGACCTCGAGTCGCTGCTGCTGCGCGCCGAGGCCACCACCGGCAAGTGCTACGTGTTGACGTTCTCGCCCAAGCACCACGTGACTCTCGCCGACATGGCCGCCGGCGACATTTTGCCCGTCATCCTGACGTGGACGCGCATCTACGCCGCCCACCTGGCGCCCACGCACCCCGCCTACGCCGCCGCGACGCAGTTCTTGGCGGCCCACCCGCCGACGTCCGCGCACGACACCGTCCCGCGCCCGGCCCACCAGCTGCGCTACATGCAAATCTTTGAGAACAAGGGCGCCGCCATGGGCTGCTCGAACCCGCACCCGCACTGCCAGATCTGGACGACGTCGAGCCTGCCGCAGGAGCCCGAGAAGGAGCTCACGCAGATGCGCCGGTACCGCGCGACGCACGGCCCCGCGCGCCACCTGCTGGGCGACTACGTCCAGCTGGAGCGGGCCAAGCAGGAGCGCGTCGTCTACGAGAACGACGCCTTCTTGGTCGTCTGCCCCTGGTGGGCCATCTGGCCCTTTGAGGTCCTGGTCGTCGCCACGCGCCACGTGCGCGCCCTCGTCGAGCTGTCCGACGCCGAGCGCGGGCACTTGGCCGACGCCATCCAGGAGGTCACGCGCCGCTACGACAACCTGTTTGAGACCAGCTTCCCCTACTCGTCGGGCATCCACCAGGCGCCCCTCGACACCCTGGGCGCCGACGACGAGGCCGACAGCAGCTGGCTCCACATGCACTTTTACCCGCCGCTGCTGCGGTCCGCAACCGTGCGCAAGTTTTTGGTCGGCTACGAGCTGCTGGGCGAGCCGCAGCGCGACATTACGCCCGAGCAGGCGGCCGCCAAGCTGCGGGCCTGCGGCGGCGAGCTGTACCGGAAGAAATTGTAGGCCGGGGGTATGGGGTTGAGATGTGAGCAGAAAAATGAGCAGCGGCGTTAACGGTTGAAGGTCAAAGGATGCATGGAGACGAGCCAGACAGTAGAAAGCATCTATCATTAGCAAAGCACACCACGCAAAGTAAGAGCCTGTACCAATAGCAACACGTGTTACATTACAAAGCCTCCTTTTCTCCCTGCATCATGCATGCCAATCACCCCCAACGGTTTTGGTTGTCCCCGTCACAGCTACCACTTTACACCCTACGCCCTACGCCGACACGTAGTGGCTGTACTGCAACGCCATCCAGATGCTGCCGCCCGTGCCGGCAATCAGCGGAAACAGCTGAGGGCCCGTCAGCCGCAGCGTCTTGTACACCGTCAGCTCACTGATAAAGTGGACCGCCGCCACGACGTGCGTAAGCAGCGCGAGCTGGTACAGCGCCCGGTTGCCAATGTCGTGCGCCGCGTACATCCGGACGAACCCGGCCAGCATCGTCCACGTCCCAAACAGCCGCGCCGCCAGCGGCGTCACCTGGTCCTGCGCCTTCTCCGTGTCCTTGCCCGTGGTCGATGCCACAATCAGCTTGTGGATGCTGTCGTCGTTGCCCTTCTGGTGGCTGGGCACAAAGAGCCCGTTGTAGATGCGGCGCGTGTAGTGCAGCGTGGCGAGGTTCTGCAGGGAGTTGCCGACGGAGACGATGCCCACCTGTGCGCAGGGAATTCAGTCAGTACGTTTCGCCCGTCTGCAGAACGCCGAGCCTGGCACTGGAACGGGAACCGACCAAGAAGAGGTAGTATGGCATCAAGCCCTGCTCCCCAGACGGGAGGTACGACAGCACGGTGTCCATTGCGTTGCGAAAGTCGAGGGGTAAGGGTCGTTTGGTCGCTGGTTCGGTGTGTCGAGAAATGGTCAGCCGTGGTGGTGGGCTGACTGCCCCCTTTTATTTCTTTGGAGTAGGTTTGCTAGGTCGTTGGTCCTTTCCCAGCACTGAGCTTTCTTATTGGCCAACCGCGTGCTGGCTGTGGAACGCCCTAAAGTCCGTCCTCCCCCCAACAGTTGCACCGTCCGACAAAAACGAAAATAATAAAGACACGAAACAGTTCGGTCTGTCTACAACATACACTCTGACAAGCAACTTTCTCGACTTCCTCAACGGCAATCACCATGGAGGCCATTCGCTCTTTTGTCGCTGCCATCCCCAGCCCGGTCATGGCCACCTTTACGGCCGTCGGCGCCCTGTACCTGGGCAGCAAGGTGCTCTCGCAGCTCGGCTTCCTCCTCAACATCTTTGTCCTGAGCGGCACCAATGTGAGTTGTCCTGTGTCCTTTGTTTTCCCGGATAGCCTCCCGCCCATTGTCTGCTTTCCCCTCTAACCCCTCCAGCTCCGCAAGTACGGCAAGAAGGGCACGTGGGCCGTCGTTACCGGAGCATCCGACGGCCTGGGCAAGGAGTTTGCGACCCAGCTCGCCGCCAAGGGCTTCAACCTCGTCCTCGTCTCCCGCACGCAGTCCAAGCTCGACGACCTCGCTGCCGCCCTCGAGGCCAAGTACGCCGACCTCAAGACCAAGGTCCTGGCCATGGACTACGCCAAGAACGACGACAGCGACTACGTCCGCCTCGCCGACCTCGTGCGCGGCCTCGACGTCGGCATCCTCATCAACAACGTCGGCCAGAGCCACAGCATCCCCGTGTCCTTCCTCGACACCGCGCCCGAGGAGCTCGAGAACATTGTCACAATCAACTGCCTCGGCACGCTCAAGACCACCAAGGCCATCCTGCCGGGCCTCGTGCAGCGCAAAAAGGGCCTCGTGCTGACCATGGGCTCCTTTGGCGGCTGGCTGCCCACGCCGTACCTGGCCACCTACAGCGGCAGCAAAGCCTTCCTCCAGCACTGGAACTCCAGTTTCGCAGCCGAGGTCAAGCCCAGCGGCGTCGACGCCTACCTCGTCCTCAGCTACCTCGTCGTCTCGGCCATGAGCAAGGTCCGCCGCCCCAGCCTGCTGATCCCCAAGCCCGACGCCTTTGTGCGCGCGGCCCTCGGCAAGGTGGGCCGCGGCTGGCAGGCGTTTGCGGCGACCTACACGCCCTTCTGGACGCACGCGCTGGTGCAGCACGTCGTGGAGAACACGGTCGGTGTGGGCCACCACCTGGCCATCTGGTACAACCTGGTGATGCACCAGGACATTCGCCGGCGCGCGCTGCGCAAGGCCGCCCGCGAGGCCAAGAAGACGACGTAAGCGGTGTGCG